TAGGTTTCTTACTGAGTTTTCCATGCTCCAGAAAATATTAATTACATTAATTAGTTGTTGGTTAACAGAATCTGTTGGAGGTATACTGATTGTTCAGCAACCTTAAGCGCAAACAATGTGAGTCCTCAGTCACTTGCTCTCTGATCTGATCATTCTCAGCTATACTTCTGCCTATCCCATAGGACCCTGAAAAATAAATAATAAATAATAAAATCTGCATGCAGATTAAAATCCAGTGGATAGCCCCTCAATTCTAAAAAAAATAAAATATATTATGACCAACTGAGTAACTCCAAGGTTTTAAGCAAGAAATAATTTCTCTAGGCATAGCATTCATTTCTAGGTGACAAGTATATATTTCATGATAATAGCTAACATTTATTGATCTTTACTGTGTAGTAGGTATCTGACTTAGATTTCAACCTTGGTACAATTAACATTTTAGACCAAATAACTCTGTTATGGGTTGTATGTTTTAATATATTTAGTAGCATTCTTGGCCTCTATCCTCCCTCACCCCACACTCAGTATGGACAATCAAAAATGTTTCCAGAAATTGCTTAATGTTCCCTGGAAGGCAAAACTGCACCCACTTGAGAACTACTGCCTTAGATTTATCAATTTATTCCATTTTGAGAACAACTATGAGGTAAATCCTATTCTTCAATGTACAGGTATATAAGCTTTGCATCACTATAACAAAATACCCAAAATAATCAATTTTTAAAAAAGGAAAGGTTTATTTGGGCTTCCAATTTTGGATTTTTCATTCCATTGGCAATTGACCCTTAATTTTGGGACTGTGGCCAGACAGTAATCATTCGAGCATGTGGCCACAGAACTGAGCTGCTTACGTCATAGCAGCCAGGAAGTCAGAGATTAGAGTCCTTCTATTTCATTCAAGGGCACATCCTTAGTGATCTAAGTTTCTCCCATAGTGCCCCTCCTTTTTCTCCCCATATTTTTTATTGCTCCTAATTATACATAGTGTTGTTACATATTCATATGTTCACACAATATAACTGTAATTTGGTCAATGGCATTTCCAGTGTTCTCCCACCCCTATTCTACTTGTCTCACTTCAATTTTCATGAGACCCCCGCCCCTTTCTTTTCCTTTTTCCTCATTCACAAAAGAGAAAACACATGACCCTTGACTTTTTCTTGGTTCTGAAGACTGAACCCAGGGGTGCTTTACCACTGACATCTCCAGTCTTTTTTGTGAGACAAGGTTTTGCTAAGTTGCTTAGGACCTTGCTAAGGTGCTGAGGAAGACCTCAAACTTGCAATCCTCTTGCCAAAGGCTCTCAAGTAACTGGGATTACAGGTGTGGGCCACTGCACGCAGCACAACCCATAACTAATAAGTTTGGCTTACTTCATCTAACATAATGTTCTCAAGTGCCATCCATTTTCTTGAAAATTACATTTCATTCCTCTTTATGGATGAATAAAATTCCATTGTTTACATATACCATTTTTTCTTGATCCATTCATCCACTGACAGACACCGTGGCTGTTTCCATAGGTTGGCTATTGTGAATTGTGCTGCTATAAACATGGATATGTATGTATCACTATAGTATGCTTTCTTTTTTGATGTTTTGTGGAGCTAAGGGTTGAACCCAAGGTCTAGTACATGCTAGGCAAAGTGCTTTACTACTGAGCTACATCCCCAGTTCTTATGACTTTAACTCTTTTAGGATAAATATCGAGGAGAGGTATGGGGGTTGGGGGTTATAAGGTGGTTCAATTCTTAGTCTTTTGAGGAAACTCCATATTGATTTCCATAGTGGTTTTACTAATTTACAATCCCACCAAGGGTGTAAAAGTGTTCATTTTTCTCCATATTCTCACCAGCATTTCTTATTGTTTAAATTCTTATTTTGTAGCTGTAGATAGACAGAATGCCTTTGTTTATTTTTATGTGGTGCTAAAGATCGAACCCAATGCCTCACCTGTGCTAGGCAAGTGCTCTGCCACTGAGCTATAAGCCCAACCTTTGTATTCCTGATGGCAGCCATTCTAACTGGAATGATGCGAAATTTTTTTGGCAGGATGGGTACCAGCGATTGAACTAAGGGGCACTCAACCACTGAGCTATATCCCCAGCCCTACTTTGTATTTTACTTAGAGACAGTGTTTCTCTGAGTTGCTTGGCACCTCAATTTTGCTGAGGCTGACTTTGAACTCGCATTTCTCCTGCCTTAGCCTCCCAAGCTACTGGGATTACAGGCGTATGCCCCGATATGAAAGTTTGAGTAATTTTGATTTGAATTTCACTAACTTCCAAAGATGTTGAACATTTTTTCATGTGTTTTTTGGCCATTTGCATTTGAGAATTGTCTTTTATCCCAAAGTGTTTTTGGCGTCTTTGCTAAAGATCAGATGACTGTTAAATCTCTGTGTCTTCTATTCTGTCCCATTGGTCTCTGTTTTCATGCCAGTAGAATGTAGTTTTTGTTATCATAGTTGTATAGTATAATTTGAACTATAATGATATCATAGTATAATGATGCTTCTAACGTTATTTTGGCTTAAAATTGCTTTGGCTATTCTGGGTATTTTATGCCTTTTGGGGGGCAAGGGGTAGGAGGGGGATCTTTTATTCTTCTAAATAAATTTTAGGGCTGTGTTTTCTTAACATTGTAAAGAATGTCATTGGTATTTTGATGGGAATTGCATTGAATCTATATATTTTGTACTCTACCCTTTAAAGCCAACCCCCCAATAGTGTCACAGGCTGTGACCAAGTCTTAAATACATGAGCCTTGGGGGAATACTTATCCAAATCATAACAGGTGAGAATACTGAGACACAGACAAGGTAAATAACTTGTCTAAGGCCACATAGGCGGTAGTGATATAGCTGTATTTGATCCAAGATAGTCTGACTCCAGAGCTAACTTCTGTCCTGACTTGATTCCTTTGTCATTTAAGGTTTAATGAGATGAGGCTTGATGGATTAGAATCCTTTCTAGAACTTGAAAAAGATTGCTCATCTGTGAGGATTGCTCCAGGGTTTGAAAATGATTTGAAGTAAGAAAACATCTATTTTCTAATGCCCAAATCACTTTTAGACCTAGGCAGAGTAGATACTGAGAATTTATGTGCCTTAACAAAAATATCTGCCTTAACAGAAACATCTGACCCACCAGTCAACATAATTCTCATCATTAGATTTTTCCCTGTAATTGGAGATTCATATCTTCCAATTAAAAATTTCCATTTGCAGATGACCCTTGTTAAAATGCTGATATCCATTTTAAGCTCTATTAGTCATAATTTAAATAAATTAACTGAATTAGTGAGTCACCTAGCAAGTCATCAGAAAGTAAATTAAGCCAAACAGCAAAGTTCTGATGGTCTAATCAGAGCAAGGAAAATGTAGTTACAAGGTATTATGAAGGGAAGCCACACCTGGGACTGGCATCATGGGAGGGGTGGTATAGGAAAGAAAATACTTTGGGCAGGAAACAGGCAATCAGCAATGAAACAATGTCACTTTGGGGAAATTTTGCCTCCTTTCTGTCCGTATCCCCAGTTTTCTATTGATACTCTCCCCCACTCAGCGTTTTTTCTCAAAATTCAGATAAGCCCATGACAGGCTTCACAGCAAACATGTGTCTGCATAGCAAAATATGAGGGACAAGAACTGTCCCAGTGGCACTGTTCTTCCTTGAGTCGGCTAAAAACATCACTGCTACTTTGATGAGATACAAGTGTCAAAATGGGGGAAACCTAAACCTGAAGCCCCACTACATATGGTTCTGGTTCCTAACATTACCATTTTTTGTGGAAGAAAGACTCTGAGTGAGGATGCTCTTATCCACTAGTTGTGGATGCCACTCTTCGGCTGAAAAGTATTCCCTTGCTACATTACAAAGGGAGGCAAAAAGGAATTCCATTCCTTTTCTCGATATTCATTACCTCTAAGTGGATACAAAACTGCTTCTTTCTTTTAACCAGAGTCTGTCAGTAAGCACTACATAAAAAGGCTTCTATCAAGGAACACCCACTACGAGAATTTTTCTTCCAAAAAGAAACGAAGGAATAAAATACCACTGAAATTTAAACTAGACTCTATAATTGAGCAGTTTAAATCAGCTTAAAACAATTTTCAAGCATTCAAATGCTAAGAGAAAACTTCTTCAAAAACATGAACAGATAAGAAAATCAGAACCAAGGTTCACAACTGATAAAACGTGAAAAAAAAAATACTGTGGAACTCTTAAAAACCAATGATTAAAAAGGAAGAAGAAAAAAGAAGAAAACCATATGCTGATAAAAAGCTAGGTTGGGTGGTTAATTAAAAAGAGTGACCAGATAAACATTATACAAGTAGAGTGAAGATACTTAGTAGGCTTGAGGACGGAAAACTGGTCTACATCTGATCACACTACCTTGATGTTTGAGAGTATCATTGTGAAAAGAGAATGCAAGCATGGATTTTTAAAAAGAACTTGTATTTATTTTATTTTGCAACTATGATCTTTTAAAACAGTGGCCTTAGGAAATCTGCTTTGGCAAGCAACTGCAGAGGCTCCTGTGGAGAGGAAGTGAAAAGACTGGGCATATAAACAAGGGCTGCTGGCACATTCAAAGCGCAGGGGATAGTTCACAGAGCAAAACGTAGTCCTAAGTAAATGGGTTTCAGGCAATTTCAGTGTTAAGATAACATCATTAAGAGTAGAACAGATTGTGCTCAAACCCTGCTGTTTATAATTAACACGTTGCTTCCAAATACTCCAGGGTCCCTGGTAAATAGTCTTCTGCTCATATTCACCCAGACCAATCAGAATATTTTCATCAGATTCCATGCTGGGCCAGCACCTGTTTGGACAAATCCAATAGAGCCAAAGAACTCCTTTCCCTGGCCAGCTAAGTAGTTGGATGAACACAGCTTGGCTTAGTCATTGTCACAGTGTCCATATGGCTTTGAAGCTTGTTTTCACAAGAAATCATACAAGTATTTTATTATGTCAAAGTTCACCGTCCTATAAACAAAAACAGATAACATGTCAGCATTCTTACCTCTGGATTGCTCAGCTTTGTATGATTCTGGGAACCACATGCAAAATAATACACACCTAACACTAAATAATCTTATAGTGCTATCAAATGTATCATGCTATCCTTGACACTAGCTTTTCAAAAATGATGCTAAGAACACATTTCATTAAAAACTTGTTTTCTTATTTTTCCATAAAGTTTACTTTTCTAAAAAAAATAATGAAAGAAAAAAGAAAAGAAACAAAGTTAGAGCTAATCAACATGCTGTATTTCAATTACACTACAGAAAGTTTAGATTTCATTTGAAAGCTATTTGCTTTTTGTCTAATAATCAGAATAAAGTAATTAGAGATGCAAAAGTATTTAAATCTTCTTTGCTTCTGAACATTGTTTATCTTCCAAACACCTGTTCTATCATTACATAAACGCAGAGCTCATCTGTCCTCATTTGTAGTTTTCATTCTTTTCAGTCTTTTAGCAGTGGTTGACCTGTAAGCGTATTGTAACTAAATCTGTATGATCCAAGAATACGATTCAACAGACGATGTGGATGTATATTTTTATACTCTGATGGCAGGCAGAATAAAATAGCAGAGAGAGAGAGACATATAATTATTTTCCTTTCTTCAAACTCATTTTTCACTATAAATATTCAGACTGGAGGTTTATTATTTGAATAAATGGTCAAAATAATTAGATATAATGATCTAGCAATAAGTATAAAATTAAAGCCTTAAATATTCAATTCTGCAAAAATAATCATCCATGCAAGAACAGCCTTTTCAAGATTCAGTAATTGCATGCTCTTATTTATTAGACCATCACCAATTAATGTTTTTGCCTATCATTTTGTAATACACTTTCTAAAAAAGTTTCTAAGCAAATGACTGACATATCAAATAATTTTTTTTAAAAAAATTGGACAGGGAACTACAGATACTGCTTATGAAATACATTTAAAAATAGCTCAAATGAGATTGTATGGCTGCTGTGGTACCTAATATTGGACTAAAAATTAATTGTTCCAGTGTAACAGTACCTCTCTGAAGAATACCAAACCTTTCCAAATGGCATAAAAATGCTGCCAAAATAATCCTGCTATCATTAATAGTGATAAGACAACTAAAAATAGTTAAATTTTAAAAAAACTTTTTGTCTCATGCAAAAAGACACAAAAGGTATGGTTATTAAATCATAATACTATTGTATTTTTGTGTTTTCTTTTATCCAAATCTTATTAAACTCCTAAATTTACAGGCAATAAAGTACCTATAAAAATAATTTTTATAAACATTATTTCTAAATAGCTTTAGTTGAAAAGATCTTTTTTAAAGAGGATTAAGAAAGGAAACAAATATAGTAGATTACTTTTAATTACTGATAAAGAAGGGAAGTGGCATTTGTATCTCTCTCTAGGCACATTGCCATCAATGAGTTTAGGTATTTAGGTGATAAACCTAAAGCGACAAAGTAAAATGGACTTAATGTTGTTTATTGGTGAATTTTTTTTTTTTTTTTGACTTGGGTGAAAACAAGAAGTTCAGAAAAAGATAAGATGAAACAATTAAATTCCAACAGTAGTGGAACCTTTAAATTTTACAATTCAATAGAATGTAACATATACAAAATAATCAATATGAAGCCATGCATATTAGAGATGCAAAAGTATTTAAATATAATATTAAGGTGAAAAGGAGAACAAAGAATTGAAACTATGTTGTGATAGCTATAGAGAAATGTTTGTCCAATGGACCGGACCATACTAGAAGAGGGCATAAACAAATGAAAATACTTCAAAATTCATTTATGGTAGGATTCCTTAATTTTTTTAGTAATCTATTTGTGTTACTATAACATAGTTTATGCAATACAGTTTTCTTTAATAAAAGGACTGATTTTAAACCGCAAGAAACTTAAATGTTTTTATTTATAAAAATTTTACTACATTCTATTTCTTTGCTTTGTTACTGTGAAGTTCTCAAGTTGCTTTGTTACTGTGAAGTCCTCAAATCGAACAGTATAATTTTTAGACTTGTAAACAACTAAACGAATCAGGAAGCAAATATGTAAGATTGTTCTTTTACAACAACATTCTCCATCATTCCTGCTGCCCTCAATATAAACAAGTAACTTGCCAATTGATAACCACATACATATACTTTTCTAAAAAAAAAATCAGAATCTGATAGGAAAAACACAAGGCAGCATCAAAAATTACCACATATAACAAAGATAACTTTGTGCTAATCCACTTTAAATCTTTTTAAAAACTTTAAAAAAAAGTTTTAGCTTATTAAAAAGTGTATACATTTGCATTTACTTTCTCTGGCTTTTCTTGCATTCAGATGTGTAGTAGATTCACATAAATAGCATTTTAAGATTTTGGATTACAACATAGTACAGGATATTCCATCTCTAATGGAACACAAATCAATTGTTATTTAAAGTAAGCAGCTAGAAAGAAATAGGATAAACACAAAAAAGTTAGTGACAATTTATGAGGAGAAATTCTTAAATCAGAATTTCGAGTGATAAGTTCATTATATGAAATACATTTAAGAATTTAATTTTGTCTATATCTTTTTATTTCATTTGTTCAATTATTTTACCCTGTATTGAAATACTTTTTTCCCCATAGGGACACTATTTTATTTCCTTTTTTTCAAAATTTTTTTTTTTTTTAAGTTGGAGATGGATACCACCTTTATTTTATTTATTTTTATGAGGATTGAACCCAGTGCCTCATGCATGTTAGGCAAGTGCTCTGCCACTGAACCACAATTGCAGCCCTCCTTTTACATTTATGGGCAATTTGAGTTTAGGTTCTTTTTAAAAATTTGTTTCTTCTGATGACTTGCAATACTACAACATTAAATTGCAACCTTCAGTTATCTTGTTGTCTCTTCCCATTGACTGCAGAGGAAAAACAATTGTAAACTTGTAATTTCCATCCACATTGAGAACATTCCAAGGATAATATTTAATAAGCTTTTCAGTCATCTGTCATCTCCCATATTCTTATTTTTATATCATGTTCATTTTCTGGAACCAGATTCCTACTGCTGCTCCTCTCAGATCCAGACCATACCATGCACCATCTACTACCCACCTTGCCATTATTGCTTAGTCAGTGAACAACTAGCATCCAGTTCAGTTCTTCTATCCATCCTGAGACCTGCAGCAGCTTAGCAACTTTATTGCACATTTGTCTTTCTCATCTCCACTGACTTTTTTACTCTCACTATTACAGTCAGAAATGTTCTTTCTCTAAAAACAAATTCAGACATTCTTCCCCAAATCCCATTTTGTTCCATTTAAGATCTCAGTAACACCTTAGGAAAAATCAGGTCACAAACTCCTTCACTTTTCCTGACCTCTAAATACCAAATGTGTGCCAGTCATTGAACTATCAGCCCCCGACTGATTTACTTCCTTCCTGCTCAACTTAGACTCCATACTTCATCACTTCAAATGTTCACGTGCTAACATCCACTGAACTCACCTGGCAAAACCCCAATACCATGTGATTTCAATTACAATTCTTTGCTGTCCTAGTATCTAGCATATGGAATGCTGTTGGAAAAGATCACAAGTCTCACAGATTGGTGCCACTGTAAATTCAAGGTCAAGAACTTCAACCCTCCCAGCAAGCTACTTTCCTTGTCAGCATTTTCTTCCATTCCCCATGGTGGCTATTTCAAATACTACATATTTCTCTCAAACTGCTACTACTTCTGCCTTTAGTCACAATTTTGCCTTTATGTCAGAGAAAATAGAAGCCATCAGAATAGAACTTCAACTTTTTGCTACCAAACCTTCAAACTCAGCTCCATCCAACCTACCTTTTCTTCTTGTTATAATGCAAGAGGATTCCCCTATCTCATCCAGGACTCTTTCAACTCATGTTCCAAATCACATAGTTAGATAACATTTCAAAGACTTTGTGAATTAAATTAATCTTTTTCTGGTTTGTAACATTAATTTTCTGCCACTATGGTTTGCCCTACCAACATTTAAATATGCTCAAATCTTTAAAAAAAAAAAAAAGAAGAAGAAGAAGAAGAAAGTCCTAGAATATAGGCTAATGAGGATAGGATATAGCTATACTTGTTGGTGTATCTTCCCAAAGACTAGCACAGTGTTGAGTTTAAAATGGGCAACACTATAAAAGTTAAATGAATTAAGAAATGAAAAAGCATTATATGTACTTGCTGCATTTACTTTTTTCACAAATACTATTTAAATGTACTATAATTTGATTTCTATCACATTAGTGTTCCTGCTAAAGTTACAAATGTCTGCTTTATCATTCCATCTTGGCAGCAACTGACTTTTAATTACTAGTCTCTTTCCTTAGGTTTTCCTAGTTTTCTTGTATATACAACTATATATATATATATATATATATATATATATATAGAGAGAGAGAGAGAGAGAGAGAGAGAGAGTGTGAGTCTACTCAAGCTCATATCAGGAAAACTTTGTTTTTATCCTTCAGAAGTAGAATTTTCAGTAATTATATAGTCTCTCTCTTTTTTTTTTTTCTTAAGGCTATGTAAGAAATTACTGACTGATTCCCTTATTTTAGACATTTAGGTTTTATCTTGAGGCCTAAAAATCTGTTTTCTGCCACAGATGTCTGAAAGTAGGCTTACCTACCTCTTCTTTGATACCTACCCTTGATTCTGCATAAAACCTCAATTTGGAATGTGACTATTTCTTTAGTTTCTTCCTGCTGCCCCCCCCCCCGCCAAACAGGCCCACATGATTTCCTTCCATCTGAAATTTTACTGTTATAGGTAAATAGAGGAAAACATGCAATAATTATCTATTTAGCACTTATTACGTTTAAAGCATTGTATTAGGTTTGAGCATAAGGCAGTGAGAGACACAAATACAGTCTATGCTCTGAGTTTCATGGACTTATTTTACAGAAATAAAGATCAATTCTAGTTATTCAATTATTTATTTAATTAAAACAAACGGGACCTTCCTAATTGGGTGTGTCTGGGTTGGGAAAGGAATGGTCATGTTTCAGAAGGTTTCTTTAAGAAACACATTTAAACTGAAATCTAAAGGTTATGTAGCAGTTAGCCAGATGAAGGAGAGGAGAAGTTGGAAAATGTGCATATGCAAGAATGGGAAGAAGAATGGTGAATATAAAAAACTAAAAAAAGGCAAAGTGGTTAAATTACAGATACCAAAGGGAGAAAGCATATGTCAGATATGGCAGGCACAAGGGCTATGGCAGGGACAAGGGCCACAGTGTTTGAGTCTTACAGGCTATTTTAAAAATTCTGGTTTTTATTCCAAGAGCTATGGGAAACTAAAGAAAATTTTTAAAAAGGAAAACGACATTACATTTTTATAAGATCATTCTGGTTATCGTGTCAATAATAAAGTAGATAGAAGATTAATTAGGAAGTTACCAGAGAACAGATGATGATGGCTTTGTCTAGAGTGGCAAAGTACAAATGATAAAAAGTGAATGAATGTGAGATATACGGGAGGAAGAAACGTCAAGATGATTCCCAAGTTTCAGGCCTGTGTAACATGGTGAACTGCAGTGCTGATCACAGGTTAAGGGAGCACTAAAGAATAGCTGGATCTTTCTTTTTTTGTTGGTAGTGGAAGCAGAGGTTAGAATTTCTAAGTACATGTGTTTTTTTTTTAATGTATTAATAGAGCTGGGAAATATCCAATAAAGGTAAAATATTTTATAAAAGAGGTCTAGCCTTTAACAATAGAGGAGTTACTAATATATAGGTGGTTGAAGTCATGCGTGTTACTAAAATTGCCTAGGGAAAGAGTACTATATGAGAAAAGTGCTCAGGCTCAAGCTTCAAGGAACAGTTCTATTTAAAGGTCAGGTGGAGCGGGTAAACTGGCAAATAGACGAATCTTAGGAAAAACAGTAAAAGAATAAAGAGGAAAACACAATACTGTGGAATTGTGAAACATAAGAGAAGAGAGCTTTATTAAAAAGAGTGGTCAACAGTGTTAGGTGATACTGCAAGTACAAACAGCCTGAGGATGAACAGAGGTTCTGGAGAAATGGGGTATATGGAATTCTGAGCACGGGTGGAAAAATTCATGTTAGAGAGAAAAAAGGATAGAGAAGCGGGAAGGTGGGGCATCTCACTAGTAATTCACGGAATTCTCAACTAAAGGTTTCAATTTTTTTTTTTTATTAAACAGTGGAGGCTGAATAAATACAGATGTTAGGACTTCTCATTTGAAGAGTCAAGAATCTTACAGCAGAAAATAAGTCTGCGAACCACATGCTTTATTCTTCAATACATAAGTTGAAATAGCTGGGAGGTTGGTAGAAGATAATCACAAGGACAGTAATGCACTAGAAACAGAAAGTCTTAAAGAAGTTGAAGGCAGTAATATTCTGGAAGCGGCAACAAGAAGGAAGAATGTCACTGAAATAACTTTCAAGCTTGAAGTACTGGGGTTTGGGAAAGTAAAGAGCTGCCAGCCACAAGGGATAATTCAAGGGGAAGTAGTATCCTCAGGAAAGAATCAGGTTTTACTTAAGGCAGTAAGGAAGAAAATAAGAAAAGGTAAGGATATGGAAGACAGGAAAAGAATGGGAGGCTAAATCAACAGGAAAATGCAAAATGTTATGAGGATGTGAGAGTGAAAGAGGGTAGATGTGGGATGAAGGAGGTGCTTACACTTTGGATATTGCCCATGGGAAATTGGAAAAAAAAAAGAAAATACAAGTAAGAAAAGAAGTTACAGACTTCCATGGCAAAATAGCAGGCCTATGGTTCCTGCTCCTTCCTGAGGTGGCAAACAAAAAGTGCAAATCTCTGGATGTGGTTTAAAATCACTGTGATGCTATGATTAAATAACATATATTCAGTTTGTTTCAAGTATATTCTCTATGATAAGGACCCACAAACCTTTTCTCTGAAATAAAGATGTGCTATTCCAAAGTTATGTCTTTAGTAGAAGCTATTAGATATAGAGATTTCAATAACATCCAGAAGAAATTTCTGCTTAGTCTTCTCTGTGTAAAAGTCTTCTCAGAACACTAAAGTCCTTACTTCATGTTTTAGGGTTTATATTCCATCAAAATGTGGCAAATAACTATATCACAGAAATATTTTTTTCTTCAGTACTAGAAGTTACACACAGGAGACCTCTATCACTGAGCCACATCTCCAGCCCCATTTATTTTTTTTTATTTTGAAGCAGGGTTTCCCAAGTAGCTGGGATTATAGGCATGCAAGCTGTACTGGCAGTATCACAAAACTTATAATTCAGAAGGGACGTAGCCAACCGGTGGATTTCAGAACCTCAATAGGTTGTAAAATTCACTGGAAGAACTCCACAAATCCAGACCCAGGTCAAGCACTGTTTTTAGGCTTAATAAATAATGACTCAGCCTACATATTTTAAATTTTGAATACATGTAAATACTTTGATGATTAATTTAAAAGTGACACTGGAATCTAACTATCTATCCAAAAAGATTGGGAACACTGTTTTATGGATTGTCATGTTCAACCTCCTAGTCTACATATACAATACCTCTTCTACTGTAGTCCTGACAGATCATTATCCAACTGTGACCAAGGGATGAAATCACATTTACATAAATGGCCATTACAGTGAGGAAGCTCGATATGTTTTTAGACAACTCTCATTTTCACAAACACTTTCCTCCCTAAACTTCTAATGCTCTAGAATTACTCAGATGACCCATTTTGCAAATGATAGACTTGGAAATACTTGAGACAATTAACATGTCCTTCCTAAGGCTTTCCTCTTATGCCTCATACCTCAGTCAGGGAGATCCAACAGTTCCTCAATTCACCACTCTCCTCCTTGTGTCTCTTCAACATGTACCCATTTGTCAATGCTCCTCTTAAAACTCTAAAGGCAGCCCAACACACCAGATTTCATGTGTCTTTGGCAACAAAGAATTATATCTTTGGAAAAATACACTATATTGTTATTAGTGTTATCTAAGTCAAGATTTTTATAGCTAACAATCCATTAAATCTCACCTTGCTATGACCATTATTCCAGGCTAAGGTCTTTCAGAACCTTAACTTTTGCCATCTAACATATTAGCTACTGCTCCTAAATTTATGTCATTGGTAAGTTTAAAGAGAGCTATCATTCTACAGTAAAGCTTGTTCATTATTGGAACTTAAATGATCTTTTCTTGTTTAAATGACTAATGATATTATATTAGAAAGAACATTAACTTTTATATTTAATATATCATTTATATAATCCAAGATATTTTATATTAACTATCATTCTACTCTTACCTTGCTACAGCTCTGATGAAGTCTAACGAAACTGTGCATTTGTATTTTGGTCCTTCAAGCTGATCATCATGGCCAACCAGGGTTAACAGTTGAAGAGTCACTAGAGAAGTAATCTAAAAACAAAAGAGAATTTTTTTTATGAGAAACTGCTTTAATGAGATTACATGATATCTTTTCTAAAACAGTTTATGGTACCTTTGATAAAGACATAACTGAGCCCACAGAAATATCTGCAAAGAATATGACTACTTTGAAATTTGTACGCACAAACTTGTATATATGTTTAAAATCCTAGTTTTATACTAAGCATTGTTTTAAAAAAAAGTCATAATTTAACCTCTGATTCAAACTAACAGTCACCCCTTAAGGATTCCATTAAACACAGTTTTGCTTCATTAATGACTCAGACATAAATCTTTAAAAGTTACAAATAAGCTACCAACATTCCTTCTCTACATAATAAGCATTTTACGGAGTTTCTATCTAAATACAGAATATCAAATGTATACTAACTTGGTAATCAATTAAAATGGGGATTTGGGTTTTTTTTTTTTCAGAGTTTTGTAGTTGGTTAGAAGAGAGATAAATGCATTCTTCTAACTTAGGCTTAGTCTTACTTTATAACTTGCTACTAATCAGGCAGTCAGGGAAACACTAGAATGATTAATAATGACAAAAAACAAAGTGTATTTTGATAGGTCAAAATCAAGTATGAAATAACCTCACATTTATAAGTGCTCTGAAATCTAAGAAAGTAAGTTAATCCAAGCGCTGAAACTCAGAACAGCCCAATCTTATTTTTGTCTCTTATAAACCAGCAGAAACAAACAATCAGCAATGACAAAATCTGGAGACTTGGTAACGTGTAACTGCTTTAGGACAATATAAAAGAGTTTTATTTATTCATTTATTTAGATACTGGGGATTGAATCCAGGGATGCTTTATCACTGAGCTATATCCCCAATCCTTTTGGTATTTTTTAAATTTATTTTTTAGTTTTAGGTGGTCACAATATCTTTATTTTATCTTTATGCGGTACTGAGGATCAAATCCAGTGCCTCTTGCATACCAGGTGAGCACTCTACCACTGAGTCACAACCCCAGCCCTCCTTTTAGTATTTTGAGATGTGGTCTGGCTAAGTTGCCCAGATTGGCCTTGAACTTGCAATTCTCTTGCCTTGGTCTCCAGAGTAGCTGGGATTACAGTTATACACCACCATAACTGGCAAGAGATAAAAGTTTAAATAACTTTCTGGGAATTCAAATGCTCAATTTGTAACTAATTTTCTCCTTCCTTGCAGTACTAAGGATTAAACCCAGGGCTTCTTACATGATAGGCAAACACTCTACTGCTGAGCCATAATTTGTGTATAATAATGCTTTGCAGATAATAATATTCTGTGAATAAGAAAAACAATAACAGCAATAGTGCTTTGCTTGGTTTTAAGTACCATATATACATAATCTCATTTAGTCTTCATGAACCTACCAAGGGGATATTATTATACTCATTTTATACAAGACTCTCAGAGATATTACATAACTCTCCCAGATCCTAGCATTAGTGGGTAGTTAAGAAAGAAAAACCTAAAATCCATGCTCTTCCTACTACTATACTACACTTTTATGAATTCCACTACATTTCCTATTATGATTTTAATTTAGTTATTTAGTATTTACTTAGCTGTCATTGTTTATTAACAAATTAAAGGGCAAACAGATGGTAGATATCAGTATTTTACATAGAAAATACTACAGTTAGTTAGCAAATATGAAGCAATATTTTTTTAAAAAATAGGTCGTATCAACACATCAGAATGTGGAGCTCTGCATTAAAAATGTTGGCTTTAATTTCTAATTCAATATCACCTATCAGGGTATACCTTGAAACAGGTTTTAGAAATGCTCTAGGTGTTGAAAAACGTATGTTTTATAGCTGCTGGGTGCTCTATTCTACATGTCTATTAGATCAAGCTTGTTATTTGTGTTGTTCAAATCCTACATATACTGTTTAAAAAAAAATACTTGATCTATCAAACCTGAGGAGTAAATTCTCCCACTATGATAAGGGTGGGGGGACCTCTTTTTCTTCTTGTAATCCTGTTAATTTTGCATTGTAGTTTTGCCACTATGTTATTAAGTGCATAAAGATCTAAAATTACTATACTTGTAGAACAGTGAAACTTTTTCACTATTATATAATCCTTTTCTTCTTCAGTAATGTGTTTGGGTTGCAGTGTATACTTCCTCATATTGATACAGCTATATCAGAATTCTTTTCTGTGCTATGCCTATTTTCTATGTTACTACTTATGATTTTACTTTCAAGTTTTATGTTTTCTTAACAGTTTATTTATTGAGGTACTGGGGATTAAACCCAGAGCCTTGTACATGCTAGGCAAGTGTTATACTACTGACCTACATCCCCAGCCTGTTTTCTTAACTTTAGACAATTTGCATTCAAAGAGCATGTAGGGTGACTCAGGTGGATCTTTCAGTTGGACCATATACTCCATTTGCTTTTATTAAGTATAATGATTTTCTATAATTTTATTTCTAACATGTCAACATTTCTATTTGTCTCTCCTTTACTACATGTTCTTCTCATTCCTTGGTTGCCTTTTAGTGTACTGAATTATATGTTCTCATTCTATTGTTTTTACTCTAGCACTCTGGAAATTGTTTTACATTCTATCTAAATTCCAACTTCCATTTTGAATTTTTTCTTAGTTCCCAAACTATTTGGGAAATGTTTCTTAATTGCTAACTTAACAAGTTTTTCTAGATGATGATGATGATGATTTGCGGGGAGGGGATGCAGAATGTGGTCTGAATACCAGCTATCCTTTGAAATTTGTTGAGGCAGTTGGTTTTCTGGGAGGGGAAAAGGCTGTACAGGGACATGGGTATCACTGTAACAGAAAGTGAAAGTGATCATGGTGGCTACCCTGTCTGCCTCTTCTGCCCACAAGGTGTCTGTCCCTGTTTGGATAGAATGTCACCAGCCAATGACAACTGAACACAAAACATGTCTACCATCTGGGATATCTCATAGGGGCAAATGATGTGGGGTATGACACGTTTTCTCTCATACATGCATGTATATAATATCCTCCATTTTTCTTCTTACCTGCAAAGCTTAAAATGTTTTTTTAGGGGGGAATTATATCTGTACTGAACATGATAGGCATTTTTTGTCATCTTTTATAACAATACAGGACAATTAGATTTGAGCATCCAAGGATTCTGGTATCCACAGGGGTCCTGAAATCAATCCCCTGCTGATACTGGGGGATAACTACATTAACTAAAAAGAAAAACAGTGAAGGTGTCCCAAAATTTAAAGGAAGGTTCACTTAATAATGAAAAAATTCAGGTCCTTAAGACTTTCACTATGAAGGTATGAGACATAATATGATGAGCAAACAAGGAATAAAATAGTCTTTGGGGGAGGGTTGTATAGTGCTGTAAGCCAAGATGAGACAAACTATATCCTTCCCAGATCAGAAACAGGTAGAAATCCATGATAAGCCCTGAAATTGTAAAGAATGGGAAGATATATAGAAAAGAGTTAACATGGTCTCTTTATGGCAAACTACATTAACTTCAACCCTTTCCAAAGGGATTCATTTGCTATAATAGGTTACTAATAGTCATTTGAAAATCATACACTAAATTCACTTTATTATTAACAGCAAGTCTCCCTCGTACTTTTTCTTTTAATATAGAAGAAAACATCAATTACCTTTTACTTTGCCACTGGCACTTCCTTACAATTCTTATAACTTCTACTTTCCTATGATTCAAATATCCTTACACATTTAATTACATTCTTTAAACTGTGTAGTAAAATAACTCTTCCACAATTTTCACAGAAAAACACAAAATCTGTCTTTTATCTACTCAAGTTTGAATATTCAGAAATATTTCAGATACCCTATTTTATGACTTTTACTGCATTAGTTATAATAAATATTCAAAGCAAAATGTTGGAACCAATAGTTCCTTGAAGTCACTTTCATTTTATCAGGATTTCATGTATAAACTGATCATATAAATTGTGCAAAAAAAGCATACAGTATCACTTCAAGATAGCAGTCAAAAGTACTCCAAGATATTAATAAGATGATTGATCAATTTTGGGAGGAGAGGGAATTTAGGAAAAAATAATATACTAAAATCTAAACTTAAAGAAAGTAATTAAGTTAGAATTTAAGTTTTCACATTAAAAAAATATAAGCCTCACTTCAGGGGTTTTTCATTAATTGACCTTATCATATAAAAATTAATCAAAAACTCAACATACAAGTACATAGCTGAGGAGAACAAATATTATATAAAGTAATGTGAAAATACACCAACAATTTAAAAATACTTTCCTAGTTTATTAAAATATTTACAAAGTAAATTGGAATAAATAATGAACAAGGATTACTTCAGAGTAATGTTTTGAATCTCATACTCATTTATAACTATACTAAATGAACACTTTTGGAAAAACACATATGAAGCCTTTGTAAAGCTTTTTCTATGCCTGAATAAACACAAGATTATTCAGGTTGGGGATGTTGATCCATGTCAAGTGCTTGCCTAGCATGCATGAGACCATGGGTTCAATCATCAGCACCATAAAGAAAAAAAAATTCACCTTCCTTTCCATTATCTAATCCTCACATTATTTAATTTTTATTTCCAATTGTATATTCATGAAACTCTTGAGAACTTACTCTAGGTAATGTGTACTCAAAGATAAACAGAATCACAGAAAATGCTTATTTACTTTCTTGAACTTTAATTGTTCATGACAATATAATGGGCCCAGATCTTCAGACTAGCACTGAGATCTAAGTAGTCTGGTACGGTCAGTGTGTATAAGATAGAAGTCTCTAGACAGTAAAGGAACACAGACTCAATCTCTGTTTAATGTGTATGCATTGGCTAGTATAACCAATTCTAGAGGTAGAGCAGGTCTTTCCCATCCAGCTGCTGAAGGTTCAATGACAAATCACTCAAAGCAAAGAGATACACAGAAGTTGTTGCTGTTGTCAGGTTCCCAAATGTAGAAAGTGATTTATATAGTCTCTAGTTTAAGGAAAGAATAAATTAGAATAT